CTGTGACACTCTTCAGTGGACTTTTCTTCCTGACCAGAAACAATGATGGCATGCTTGGCACCGTGTGAATTTCTTCACAGAGAGTAGCTATGGCTACAGCCTAGAGAAATTACTTTAATTTAATGTATAATATCCAGAAGATACTTGATATGCATGAATGTTATTAGTGATGAGGTGAGCTCAACTGAAAACACACGTCTGTTCTTCTATGTATGTCTCTTTTTTAACAATTCATATGATGACAGTATTGAACTTGCAAATGAAAATTAAGCTCTTTAAACTGTCACAAACCTGTGTTGTGAGAATAACTTCACATTTAAGGGTCACAGGTTGCATTCATTTTAGCTCCCATGTCACTATTAGTCACTAGGATCATTCCATCTGATTCTGCCAAATCTGTACTCAGATTCCCATTTGTGGGCTCCTGCAGTTCATAGGATGTCTCATAGATACATGGGTCTGTTTATTGTGGACAAGAATCTTAATGAGTTTATAAGAACTAAAGCAAATTCTGTCTTACTACTGGCTAACTTACTCCATTTCTTTTATGGTGCCAGGAAGAGTGAAAACCTAATAGATCCTTTTGTAGGCTATAGTTCTGTAACTTCTTGTAGACGTATGTGATTTTGGTGAGCAGGAATACGAGTAAGGAGAGAACTGAGCTGGCTGGTGGTGTGGGCACAGCAAGGCTGCTCCTTCCATACAGTGCCAGCTGCTAGCTGTTTGCAAACTCAGATTCCTCACTGCAGAAAGCTGACAAGACCTTGACTCACAGTTGAACAACAAAGGCTAAACTAACTTCCCATGGAAGACCTGTGTGGGGAATTCCTCCTGAGTTCCTATTTGCATCTGCATCTCTAGCATATGTGCATCAGCGAGGAGTTCACTTTTGCTCACTCAGTGGCTGTATCTATAGCTCAGGTTGCCTCATGGTTTCCATCTAAGGCTAATCTGTGGGGTGAAGAGGAAGAACCCAGTATATTTTAGGATAAATATGTTGGCAGAGCAGTGGCGATGTGATGAATAGCTCTTTCAGGCTATTCATCATGTTGCCACTGCTCTGTCTACATATTTCAGACTTTGAAGCCTGAAAGAGAGCACTTCGAGAGTGAGGTCTAGTTAGGGCTGTCTGGAAGATGATGAGTGCAAATATTTTGGTTTAATGAGCATGCATACTCATTTGCTCATTTAGAAGAAAGAAGTCATAAAGGAAGGCAATAAGCAGAAGCAAAACCAGAAATTGCCGTGGTTCACCACCTGGTACCTGTTCATAGCTTTTGCAGTGACCTCATGCTTCACAAAGAGGTGCAACAAACAAAACACTGGAGTGCCAGCACGTACTAAGGACAAGGGATAAGCCTCTCTTACTGCCCTTCTCCTTGTTTCATAAAACTTTGACTAGGATTCACTCGATAACTGAGATACATGTCTCTAAGTTATGGAATCATCTGTCTTTAAAAAGCAGCATGTTTCCTTCAGCAGTTTGTACTGCCTTTATCATTACAAACAGTCCCACTGAGGTCCCCTTTGGTATCTCCAGAAAGCACACATCTAGTCATGGAGATTCAACATCCCAAAAAACAGAGACACCGCTGGAAGACAAAAGGCAGAGACGTGTTGTGCTGCTGAACACCAAAGCCACAGCACGCTTTTGACATGTTGGGGGCAGCAGTTAGTAGCTGACGTGACATATGCCTTCAATCACTTACTCAGTTTGTTTCCAAATTAGGATCAGCTCAGCAAAAAACAACCCTGTTCTGTGGCAAACATTTCACCTCATGTGAACTTACAAAGTACTGTTAGCCTGGAGACCAATTGGGGCCCATAGGCAGGACAATGTATATAAATACCCAGGGAAGGCTGGCAAGGAAACAAATAAACAGGCTCTAATTTTCTCCTGCAACATTAAGCAGTTTTCATACTGTGAGAGACTAGAAAGGTTGAGTTACCCTGACGTCAGTACAGTCATTATTGGCTTGGGTTTTTGGCTTGTGTACAAGGCTAACATTCTTATCCTTGGGAGGGTCTTACTCTAGCACAGAAATGGTTAAGAAACTTTAGTGTGTTGTGCACCTCTTTATCCTAGCCCAAGTGTCTGAATTTCAGAATATCTGCAGACCAACCATGGTGACCATGTTTTCATACTGTCAAGAAGATTAATGAACAACCTCACTATAATTAAAGGCATCTTCAGATGCTTTAAAATGAAAAACAAACACCAGACACTATGTGCAGTCCACATACATGCACTTCCTAGAGAGCAAAGTATTCCATATTCTTTCCTATCAAGCAACTTTAGACATTCTTCATGCCCAGACTTCTACTGTGAAGATCTCTTGCTACAGACGTCTCAGTGATTTTGGGAAATTATCTTGCAACAAGCCAATGCATCTGAGAGCTAGAGAGCAAATTACAGGCTCCTAATGTTTTCCCAAATATTTTTGCATAAGCTCTGTTATTATTTATATTGCATTACAGACTATCTTGAGCTATTCGACTTTAACAAGAGGTGACTTAAATTGTATGCTGTAGATTGGAGTGCATTCATCCAAGGAGACATCAGCAGTAATAACCAAGGACACTGTGCTGTGCCTAATGAAGGTGTTTTCCTGAAGTCAGTAGGAGCTCAGACTGCTGAGGACTTCACAAACTTGAGTCTTTAGAGGGCTTACCTCAGGAGCCCTTCTACATACATGGAACCTGTCCAGATCATCATATTCCTAAATTCTCTCAAGAATCTGAAACGATACCCAGTACCCTCCAATTCTATTGCACCTGATTATTAGGCATAGATTGCTGTGGAACAAACACATCCTTTAAGTGGTGAATGGGAGATGCACACTACTGGGATAATGCACATCCCTGTCTGAGTGAGGGACTGTGACCCGAGGTCCAAATGAGTACTGGACCAGACGGATTTGGCATCTCATTTAGCTAGGTCATGGTTAACATACAAAAGAAATAGACTGCCATCAGTTAAAGTCAGCTGCTGACACTTTTCAGGAGAGTCCCCTGTGTGTCTGACTGCTGCTAGCTGGAAATACATTCAAAAATGTGGGAATTTAGGTACGCGTTTCAAGAAACTGCAGAAAAGATCTGCAAAGGGAGCAGGCTTCTCTTTTCACAGGGCTTGCTATTAACAAAACCTAAAATCCCAGTTGCATTTTGACCATATTACTGAAATTATTTTCTGTCCTTACTTTTCTGCATCACTGTTAGAAATTATTGATACCTGTTTCAAACACCAGAAAGACCTACATTTCACTAGTACATGAAGATAATTCAAGTACAGCAGAATTTTGGTAAAATTCAGAAATAAATGCTTCGAGTGCTTGAACTGCCAGTATTTGGTAGCAGAAGCACTGATGTGAATCAATAACTGTGTTTAAGCTTTTAGCTGTTTATTCTGCAGACAGAATACAATGCATAAGGTGAGAGTACATAAACTCAGGATCCTTTTGCTAGTGCAGATGCTTATGGTCCAAACTATTTGATACCAAATTAATTTCTCTTTCTGAAATGGCATCTGCCACTTCAAAAGGGTGTAACGTATATTGCACTTGGGAATTTGCAAGCAGTATCCATGCAAAAAGAATGTCTGGTTTTTTTACGCTTTCGTACCAAGCACCTGAAGGAACACTACTTGCTTTGCACTTCCTCAGAGAAGCACCCTGATTCAATGAGTATATGTTTCCCAACTCTGGGATCGAGATGGGAATCTGAAGCAAAGGCCGCACATGCCACAGAAGAATACTGCCACACAATTATCAAAGTGCAACAACTCCCCACACATAGTAGTTCACATAGTCCTGAATCACATCCTATATTAATATTTTGGAGTCACTTGTAAGATTTTTTTTTTTTACCCAAATAATATAACATCCTCTCCCTTTGCATATTTCCAGTTCTTTAATATCTGGAGTGTATCTGATTCTGAGCTGAAATGATGTATCACTGGGTACAGCTGCAAAACCTCAAATATGGGCAGTAAAAGCAGAATAAGCAAAATTAAGTAGGCAAGGCTTAAAACTCCCCATTGCTACATAGCTAGTCGTTTTTAGAAGGTAAACAAAAATCAAAGCATCTTATAAATCTGAAGCCTAGACTGGCTAAAGAAATTCTAAAAGTTTCAACACAAGACATGCAAGAGTAAGGATGTGTGTTCCTTTATTTTGGGAAGTGCTGCTATTGTATGGGGAGGGAGAGGAAATTATTAACTGGTAAGTTCTCTTAAAAATCCTGTAACAGTTGTTTCCCCTCCATAATGTGGTCTGCACATTTTCCCTTTATTTGCCCCAAATTTGTCGCATGTTTATATCCTATTAAAATACTTTTTTTTCCCGGATTTGTTTGGCACAAAGAGGACTGATGTAAAAATGATAGGCTAGATCTCTGGGTAATTTAAATGGTTGCAATTCTGTCACCTGAAATGGAATGAACCCAAATCACAGCAGCTGGGCAACTGACTGTGCTCTTAATTTCGGAGCCACTTTCCGCCCCCCCCCCGTACACTCCGGGAGGCGAGCGGGATGAGCGGGCTTTCGCTTGGCTTCAGGAGGGCTGCGGAGCTGGTGGCTGTGGTGTCTCCGGTGGGAAGGACGCGGGCAGCCCGGGAGGCAGAAGCATCTCCCGAAGGCTCAGCCGATAGCCCCGCGGGTGGTGGCTGCTCGGCAACCCCGCAGAGGCCACTCTGCCCCGGGGCGGCCGGGACACATCACCCGGCGCCTGCGGGGCGGGGCGGGGCGGGGGCTCGGGGTTCGCGGTGCTCCGGCCGCCTCTTCGCCCGCGAACCCTCCCCCTGGCGGGGGCGGGAGCGGGGCCGGCCCGGGGAGGAGGAGGAGCAGCCGGAGCCGAAGTCGGGGCTGGATCGCGGCGGTTCCAGCGGAGCGCCCGAAGTTTGCGCTGCCGGCGGAGGCGGCTCTGGGCCCTCGTCCCGCCGCTTCCGGGGCTCCGCCGGGCGCCGCGGGCCGGGCCGGGCCGGGCCGGGCTGGGGGGCGGCCGGGGCAGGGGGCGGAGCGGCCGCCGGCGGGGAGCCGAGCCCAGCCCAGGCGAGCCGCGATGAAGAAGCCGGACGGGAAGGTAGTGCTGCTGGGGGACATGAACGTGGGCAAGACCTCCCTGCTGCACCGCTACATGGAGCGGCGCTTCCAGGAGACGGTCAGCACCGTCGGCGGCGCCTTCTACCTGAAGCAGTGGGGTCCGTACAACATCTCCATCTGGGACACCGCAGGTGAGCAGGGGCGGCCCGGAGGAGCGGGGCTCTGGCCCCGCGGGCTCCCGGCGTTTCCCGGCGGAACGGGGCTCCCAAAAACTTGGGCGGCGTTTGCCGGCGGGCTGCCTGCCTCCTCCGAGTCTGGAGAGAGCGGCGCTGCCCCTGACACCCTCCGTGCCTGGGTCACGATACCTATGGCTTTCTTTTCCCTAGTTTTGGCTCTGCCCTAATGTACGAGCTGTGGATGGGAAAGATTGCGGTCGGGTGTCCTGGCTTGGGACAGCCTTACCTCTCGGAGAAGCGGCGGGCTGGAGATGGAGAGGTGACCCCCCCGCTGCCTCGGAGGGGAAGGCTGACCCCGGGAATCCTGCCCTGGCGCTTAGCGCCTTGTTTCGGCACTACGGTAAAGTCAGTCCCCTGAAACGCAGGGTGGTAGGACAAAGTCTGAAAAGAATAAGATTTTGAGGGGCCAGAAGGGGCCTTACATCTGCTCATCTTTGATATTTTTGGACTTGCTTGCCAAATGTGGACGTACAGGGAAGATTGCGGCGCCGGTTTGCTGTCTTTTGCCCTAGTAGATTGCTACTGACGGCAAATTCAGGTAGGAATTCGAGAGGTTACAGTTTCTGCTCATCCCTTCTCGATGTGTGGTGTTGAGCATCCCTTTGATGTCAGCTGGTGTCAGACTTGGACTTCCAAAAGCGCGCCGCTGGCCAGCCGTTCAGACGTGGCGTTCCCCTTCACCACAGCAATAAGAGCATAAGGAATTAATGCACAGAGAGCACGGGCTGCAGGAAGTTTTTGTCTGGGATAGCAGCAAGGGGCTGTCTGGCCCGCTGTATTGTGGCAAGCAGCATCTCCGGGATGCAGGAAGGAGCATGGGTTGTGGTCATGTGTAGTCATATGAATGTCTTGCTCTTGATTATTAAGTCAGGAAGCTCCCCTCTGTCATGTAGAGGACCAAGACTGTCCAGAAAAATGAGGTCAATAAACGTTTGTGCCGTTTAAGTTGATCTTGGGGAAAAATAATCTTGTTCAGTATTTTTTTGTTTTCATGTTTAGCTGGATTGTAAAAGATTTATTAGTGGCAACATGACGAATACTGATTATTTGTCCTTGTGAAACTTGTGGAGCTGCAGCATCGTGCAATATTCCAGTTTCCTCTTGGTGACGTTTGGGAGGGAAGTTCATTTGCTGTGTCACTTCATGTCACAATCTAGTCCAAAATGGCTTTTCCTGCATGAGGAATTGAGAAGGAGGAAGGGGAGAGATGAAACCGCCGAGAAATTATGCAGAAACACTTTTGTAGGGTGGGGAGAAGATGTTTAAGAACTTTTGCTTCTTGCATTTCTTAATCTGTTACTATGATGAAACCTTTCTACCAGTAGCTCTGTTTTAAAAATACTTTCTATGTCCTTTGCAATATTTTTGAAAAAAAAAAAAAATCTACTTCAGTTTTGGAACTGATGTGTTTTACTGTGGGGAGTCTCCTCTGGGCAATTGCTGCTTGTTTCTGTTAAGCCAGACCACATCGGACATTAATAGTGGGCTTTATTTCAACAGAAGAATTATCTTGGTGATGCTGTTCTTTGGTAATTTCCATTACATCCTTCTTTTATGATAGACAATAAAATAAGTCCCTCCAAGGCTTGTCTGGGTTTAGAACCTTTTTTTTTTTTTTTTTTTTCCCCAGTCATTAATTCTTATTGCAGTCCATGTTAGTCAAGGCTTCAGGTTCTAGCTCTATGTGGTATCTGGAAAGCTCCAGAGTTGGGTTCTCCATATGCCAGATGAAGCACCCAGGTAATTCCTGTCTCAGGGCAACACAAGTGTTCAGAACTCAACAACTGTCTTCCCAGTGGCCACAGTTTCCTCTGAACCCTGGAGCAGGCCACTGCTGATGCTGCTGCCTGCATAGCAGGTGGAAGCTCCTGCTGTTCCCTAAGGCTGGGCAGGACTTCTGTAGCAGGATTGCTGAAGCTGTACTTGTAGAACACTTGTTGAAAAGTGTTACTGTATTTTACCAGGGGAGGTATAACACATCTTCCTCATCCTTCTCTGTTGTTGAACCGAGTGTTGACCCTAGCTGTCCCTTCTCTTGTGTTTCACAGGCAGGCGTGGACTCTTTCACCACCTCTCTGTTGACTTGGGCTCCTGCAGAACGATGGAAGTTGCTAAAATGGGGCTAGACTGCTTTAAGGCATGTGGGGTCTCATTAATCTTAGAAGAAATAGAAGCTCCCAGGGCTTATATATGCTTTCTCCTGTCCTGGTGAAGAAGGAAGGGACCATATGGACACTTGTAACCCTGATGTTAAGTCACAAGGGGATTCAAAAGTCTGCATAATTTATTTATTTATTATTTTTATTTTGTGCGGACCTTATGCTTTTGCTAGCCACAACGTGTCTGGAGACCTTGGCCGGTGGCTTTTATCTCTCTATTGGTCTCACTATCTTATCTCTACCAGGTGGGTACCAACTAAGCTTGGAATTTATGTAGTAAGGAGGAGATTTAGCTTTTTTGTCTGTTTATTAACTTGAGTTGCTTACTACTGCATTCTTGTGAAGCAGTTACATGGTTATCGATTACAGATACATTGTTTTCTTCAATTATGTATGTGCAGGTATTGTAGAGAAATCCAGCAAGAAACAGTCATCCAGGAGATTTGAAATTCTTTAGCATAGCAAAATAACAAAAGTATAGTTTAAAGTTTACATTCATCCTACCTAAAATAGGTAAACTATTATATATATACTCACTAAATAATGAGCGCCAGCTCAAGATGTCCATCTTAATACCTCAATAGTACTTTATACAATATACATTTTAGAAATATGAAAGATTTGGCCTAGAAAAATGGGGGTGCTTGGTAGTAACTACTTTACTAGTAAAGTCTGACAACTTCTGCACACCCATTTGGCAAGACTTGTGGATAAGAACATGAAAGATTTAGACTAGACTAAGCAGCTGATTTTTCCAAGATAAGGAGGGGTGTGAATGTACAACCAAGAGAAAAAGAACCCTCCCTGGAATAACTGATTTGCAACAAGGTAAACTGGAATTCATCTTCTTTTTTAATTTTCTCAGTTTGTGTTATATTTAGTGTGTGAATGTATGTTCATTTTTGTTGTTGCTTATCAGCATTATTTTGGGGACTGTTATCTCCATAGAAGTCCCCTATATTTTACCTGTAGTTTGGCTTGTATGGTTTTTGTTGTTCTGGTGTGGATCAGGCATTTGGCTGTAACAGTGAAGCCTCAATACACTGTAACTTCATTCCTGTAATACAGAGTTTTGTTTGTACAAGATTAGACTTCAGTGATTGATGAGAATATCTGCAGTAGTGGTGATGGATCAAAAGTTAAGTATGGATGGATATTAGTATGACACAAATTTAATTGCCCATCTTCTGAATTATTTAAAATATGTGTCATTTTCACTCATCACTGCATTGATATTGTATTACTTCTCTCATTTTCCCAGGAAGAATGAAATTTTCTTGGCACAGTGCTTAAAATGTATGTTTCTGTGTTGTTATCACTCAGTGAATCACAGTGTGCACACCTGACCTGTTCTACCAAGTTAGGACTGAAGTGCAAATCAGTTATTCCAGGGAGGGCTCTTTTTCTCCTAGCTGTACATTCACACCCCTCCTTATCTTGGAAAAATCAGCTACTTAGCCTAGTCTAAATCTTTCATATTCTTATCCACAAGTCTTGTCAAATGGGTGTGCAGAAGTTGTCAGACTTGATTGGCTTTTTTATGTAAATGCTCATGGCAAATAGTTCAACATTTCCAGTTTTCCAGTTTGATGATTACGAGAGAAGTTATTTGGAAATTGCATTCAACTCAAAGAAACAAATGAGCCACAGATGGAAGAATACTTGAGAGAAGTATCATATGCTTGCTGTGTTTTGAAGTTTGTTTTTTTTTCCTAGCCATCTGGTTTTGACTACTTCTTCACTGTCAGGGCTTTGGATAGATGTCTTGTGTCTGACCTAGCATTGCTGCTGTTGTATTCATGGTTGGTGCAGAAAATTATTTATTACTCCTTATTTTCTGATGCTACAGATCGCCCTTGTTTGTTTTCTCTTTGGATCAGCTAATTCAAAGGAATAAAGGAAAAAAGTGGCATAAACCATACAGAAACAGGAGAAACTTTACACTTTTAACATGTTTTAAAGGACTAGTCTACTGGATATGGCCTAGTCTCTAAAGCATTTGAGTACATTCTTTGAGACCTTCATACCAGTATATTTGAAGTAGTACTTTTCTGGTACAGGGAAAGTAATTAACAGCATAAGCCAGAAGAACTTTCTCACGTGAAGACATGTTGGACACTCAGGATGTCAAAGCTATATATATATAGTGTGTGTGTGTGTGTATATATCTTCTAGACAGTGCTGACAACAGCTGCAGAGTAAACCAAAACTTCCTGCTGGGTGATAATGGCATGCAGCTCTGAGCTAGGATGTAGTCTTTTGTCACTGGTAGCAGAAAGCATCTGAAGTTTTGAAGGTCTTGGTCCTGCACCACCACTGAACCAAAAATAATAATGTGAGGTGGCTGCAGCTAATGATATTGTGGGAGTCTTGTAGTTGTTCAGGCATGTTTTCTGATGCCTCTGTATTTCAGAAGGTAAAATTTGTTTCTGTGTTAGATTTCAGTCTCTCTGAGTTGACATTTGTTCATCTAAGTGGTGCCCTCAGCAGCAAGGTTTCTTAATTATTTGTGTTGCTGGCTTAGTATTAGAGCAACCAACCAGTAAATTAATGAGGAGTGGTTTAGAAAGTTCACATCAGGATCCTGTAATTCTATTTTAAGAAGCTGAGTTTTGAACTTGCCAACAGACATTCATGCAGCATTATAATGGGGAAACATAAAGGTTAACTGGGAAAGCAGACTTTCCTTCTTTTCCTTCCTCTCATTGTGAGCTATCTCTCTGCAAGAACTGACTGGATTATTTTCCTCTCTGAATATTCAGCTATCAGTTCATATTTTTACACCTTCCACCCCTT